CATAAATAATAAGTGTAGCAAAAGTCTCATTTTCAATTGATACAAACTTATTGCTGATTCCTTGTGTAAGGATGATTCCTGAACTCTGCCACCAAGGTAAGGAATAGTGGTACAAAAAGGATATGAGGATCACACCTAATTTCCCTTTTCTGGCACTCTAATGCTCCCATTCACTCATGGCAGGCCATCCATTCCATTGGATTTAGCCTAGTTTGGATCAAAGCTTCCTCTACTTCATTTAACAGATTAGCTCAGATGGAAGGTCTCAGAGGGGAAACAATGTGAACACATGAATATGTAGGTCATTGGATTTTTAAATAAATTAGAGAATAGTTTATCTATTAAAGAAGATTCACTGTACATATTTTATGAAACCATGCCCTTAACAGGTCAGGGGACATTTCACAAGCATCCCCTGGTAATATTAAGTCTTTTAAAATACTGTCATAAACCTTTGCATACTGGCATAAGCCTCTGATTAATTTTTTCTTTTTAAGTCTATAAAGTAACAAGGGGCAAAAGAATGCTTAAGGTTAGGATTCCTAATCAAACTTTAAAAATGCAAGGACGTAAACAGTAAAGAATCAAGCAACTTATTTCACGTCCATAGGCCTAGTAAGTGAAAGTATGTCAACACTAAAATAAATTCAGGATATAAATAAGGAAGAATGAATAATAATAAAAAAGAAATCTGACAAAGCACTAGTCCTATTGCTTCCTGAAATTATTATTTCCACAGACACCATCTGCATCACTGACGAAGCACTGGAGATGGGGTAGGGCCAAGGAGCAAAGCTACTCTGAAACTCATATAATCACACAATGCACCATTCAGACTCAGTTGTGGTATTCATTTAAGACAAGTTTGGTGGATCTCATAGGGCCTCAAATCCAATGTCTGTTTCTGTCTCATTCTCATTCATATTCATTCCCTCTCTTTCTCTCCATAGTCGATATGCATAAATTGGTCTGGACAATATCAATATCAGTCCATTGAACTGTAGAGCTACGGAGCTCAGGTTTAAAATAACAATAGATAACTCCAATAGTCCATTTAGGTGTCCACCTAAAATGAACAGTTCTGATTCTGTTTGTTTTGAGAATAAAAAAAAGTTAAGATTCTTTTCTATGCAAAGATTAACAATTCATTTATATTATTATCTATAATATTAAATTTTATTTGTTTATTATAGCTGGCAAATTATTATATCATTCATAAATATCTGATTCCACCCAAATAAGGGTCAACATTTGGAAAATCCATGGTTGGTTTCATATGGCATAGTACACCATATTTTCCATTTAACAATGCTGCTGGTAAAACCAGCTGCCCTGTCTTGCTGTTAGTGACTACAGTACATACAGCAAAAACAATCTGCCTGCTGACCTCCTGCTTAAGTTCAAACTATATCATTCTGTCAATACCATCTACCTTGATTAGGTTGGGCTTTATACACAACAGGTTATGATCCCAGAGGGATGAAAAGCTTTCCCAAATTAAAAGCAGAATTTTAAAAGGAAATACTCATACATTCCTATGCAGTTTCCATTTGATATCCTCAAGGCTGGCCCATGAACTCAAGCTCATGTTGATTGAAAGTGAATGTTTTGTTCTGGGTGTAGCCATCTTACAAATTTAATGGCAGAAGGAAAATAATAAAATGTGTTCCATGCTTCACTTAGACCTTTTATAACTTGGCACTTGAAACATGGTGATGCCAAAGAAAATCATTAATCCATAAAAATAGATGAAAAGGACTAGGTAGGAGAAGACAGACATCCAGAACTCTAGGCCTTGGCAGAGTATACCCTCTAACCAATATGGTCTTGTCATTGTCCTGCCTCATTGTGGGTCTTCTCTCATACTTCATGCTATTTGAATAAAATGTATATTGTATTTGCTTCAAAAATCCAAAGTAATACAACCATGCTTTCAATTTTATCCTTAGCCAAAGGAGCAATATACATAACCAGGCAATAAAATGTTGGCTAGCCATGAAATGCCTACTCATGCACATGAATGATAGATGAAAGAACACACAAACACACAGAGAACTGCTAAATACAGAGTCAGCAGATGCATTCTTCTAATTTATATTTTGCAGTAGGATGCAACAGACTTGCTGAAAAGGACAAGAGCCTTTCATAACCCCAGTCCAGATAACTATGGACACACAAATGCTGCCTGAATATTTTGAGTCTCAAGAGAAAAGTAGTAGAGTGATGTTGAGAACATGAGCAGGTCTCTCTGAACCTCTGAACTCATTTTCAAGTGATGTAAACAGACTCTGTCAATAATATAATGTATAAATTAGCTAAGATCAAGAGAGCAAGAGATTTCACCTCTCTTGGTCTCCTGTCATACATAATATGTCAGCACTGAACCTTAAACAATCCCACTGTTTCTTCCCTGCTTCCACTCCTGCAGTTTCAGCATTGAAGACAGTTACCACACCACAGTGGTTGATTCTATCACTAGATTAATGCTACTGAACTTCAGCTGAGGCCCCAAACTACCTCTCAAATCCTGCAAATTGACTCCCTATCACATTCAAGTTGTGCATCCACTTTTGGCCTCCCTTTCAACATCAAATTTTGTAAAAAGTAATCTGCTACTGCATCCTCAGCAGTTAATCACTCCTTGACTCCTAAATTTTGACTCCTGTCCCCACCACTATAATGAAATTATACTTTAAAGTTTGCCAAAGACTTCTCCCAACCAATCACCAAATCTCATGGCATGGCTTCAGGGCTCTCCCTCCTGGACTTCTTAGATTTCCACATGTGGACAAATCTCCTTCTGGAAACTCTCTACTAATGTCCTCTATACTCACACTACTACCTCCCTACTCTTCATCTGCACCTACCCCCATCTCTCTTGGCATTTCTACTCTCTCTTTTCCTGATGCTGGTGCTGCTGCTGTGGTGATAGTGGTGGTTTCTCCCATTCCATTCTTTAACTCTTTAAATCTCAGGCTCTGTGAAGGACTTTCTAACTTCTTGCTCTAGCTCTGACAATTCTTAATAGCAACAAATTCATATTTTCAATGACTGCTGCACATCTTCACTTAAGAAGTCTGCTAGCACTTCAAAGTCAAAATAACTCAATCAAAAAAATCACTTTAACCTTATGCCACTCTTTCAATGTTGTCCTTGATTCTCTTATTAATTATATCTTTATTCTCAGTCACCAGGCTCTAACCTTGGCATTATCTTTACTCCTTCCCTCTTCATCCTTTCACTCACTTTCTGTCAATTTCATTTCCACCATGTTTCTTGACTTTGTACTCTCCACTCCACTGCCACCAGCCTAGTTCAAAGCTTCCACACATTTCAGCCTCCTAAACAATATTCCTTCCCTTTTGCTATCATGAGAGGGGGGAAAAAACCTTCCTACGATCTTATTCTGATTATTGGATCATAGCATATTCCTACATAAGACCTTCAATGGTTTCCGAGACCCACAAAAGTTCAAAGTTCTTAGCAAGACCTTTTTTCATCTGTGCCCTCCCTGCTTTCTTTAATTATCTAGCTTTATTATCAACTACCAACTATTCCTGAATTTTTTGGCTCAGTATTTTTCTCATGAATTCTCTTAGCCTAAAATACTCTTCTTCCCCATCTTTGCCTGTTAAACTTTATTTATCCGTCAAGGTCTAACTCTTGGCAACTTAATACTCTACTTGTTTACATATGTGCTTGCCCATGATCTTTTTTATCTTTGCATCTGCACAGAGCTTCACTTTCTGCCTTGCATTTAATAGGGTGGCTAAACTTAAATCTACTGTCCTCTTAAAGACTTACCATATGTATTCTACAGGAAGAATTACTCACCCCTAACTTGCCATAAATCCCCACTACAACCATTGCTTACAATCCCCTACCTTATTCACCATATTTCACATTTTACTATAGTTATCTGGTTACACTTTTTTTGCTACTAGATTGTTAGCTCCCTGAGGTTAGGCACCTTTACTTTTTTGTTACTCATAAAGGGACTTGGTTAGTGGTTCTCAAAGCGTGGCCCACCAAACCATCATCACCTGGTACCTTTTTAGAAATGCAAATTTCTGGGTCTGGCTGGTTAGCTCACTCAGAGTATGGTGCTGATAACATCAAAGTCAAGGGTTTGGATCCCCTTACTGGCCAGCTGCCAAAAATAAAGTAAAATAAAATAAAATAATGCAAATTTCTGGGTCCCACCCTGAACTTACTGAATCAGAAACTCTGGGAAGAGGCCCAAAATCTGTGTTTTAACAGCCCTCCAGTGACTTTGAGAAACACTCAAATTTAAGAACCACTGATGGAAAAGAATGCTTAATATAAACAGCCTTCAATAAGATAAGACATATATGAATAAACTGTTTACCTTTTTTTTTCTTTTCCCCACAGTCTATTCAGGTTCTGTGTACCTTTTTATCATTTAATATTATATTGGCATATAATTCCACCAAAACATTAAAAATGAGTAAAGTATCCATTATTAGTTTATCAATATCTTAAATCTAACATGTACATTTTAAAGGGTTTATAAAAGTTATAAAATTGTGATATATAATGATACTCTTTATAAAGTTCAAAAACAAGGTAAATGATAGATTGGGGCATGCATAAATAGCTTTACAACTGGTTTTTTAAAATACAAGGGAGTGATAATCACTAAAGTCAAGATCAGATTTACAACTGTGGAGAAGTAGATAGAAAAGATGAGAGGAGCACAAATATAGACCCAAGTCATTGGTAATATTTTGGATCCCAAGTTTGAGCTGCTGGTTCACAGATGTTCATTATATTATTGAAATTAATTAATTAATTAGAGTCATCCATGGATCAATGGTGATAGTGTTTCATGAACTAAGTATTATTTATTAATCTAATTTATGTGCTCAGAGATCCATAAAACTTTTTTAAAGAGATAAAAAAGAATTAAGACATGTCACAATTCTGTCCCTAATATTATTCTTAACCACCAATGAAAACGTTCAGTGCTAAAATTGTACCTGCGTGCGGTTGAATGCCACTCTTGCAAAGACAGCCTGAGACACACTGGCCCTCTTCAGCTCATCTCTGACTTGCTGGTAGATATCTGGAGAGACTTCCACGGAAGAGTTGGTTGGCTCCAGCTTAACTGCTCTGGGAATAGGTGGATGGTTTAGGAACTGCTGGTTGATGGCTTGCGGATGCTGGTGGGCCAGGAGCCGGCTGACGGCAATCTGCTGGTTTATCAGATGGGCCATGGCTATTTGTTGCCTGACAAGCTGTGGACTGAGCTGGGGGGAAAGAAGACCAGGGCTCATGATGGGCTGTAATGTGGGCACTTGGTTTCGGATTGGAGTACTATGGTGGATTTGGCTATGAGGAGACTGTTCGTTGGTTTTCCCCAGGGATGCCAGCTGGTTCATATTTGGTAAATGCATTGGACGCTGGCCCAGAACACAATAGTCTGAAAGGTTTTCTCGTTCCACTCTTTCCACTGTTAAGAGAGAAAAATGATAATTCATCATTATTTTCACTGGTACAGTTTATTTCTAATATACGTAGTACTTAATTATCATATTTTTGGTATGTTCATGATAAACTTTTTTCATCCAAAGCTGGAAGCCTCAGAGTAAAAGTTATTTTTTTCCTGTAAGGTGTTATAATACTAGATTTTCTAATGGAAAATACGAAAGTAAAAATATTTGCCATTTTAATTTTCTTAAATTATCAAAAGTAAGCATTTCACTGAAGTGCCAAGACAGAAACCAATAACCACTACCAATTCTAAACCCTCTCATATTTCCATGCTCTATCATCTCCCTCTTCACCCTCTGTTATAAAGTCACCAATGGCTCTTATCTGCTGTAGTTTGTGGTTAATGGCACAGTTCATGGCTATCAGGAAATGACAACGACAACATCTCCTGCCAAATAAAGTGCTACCTTCTAATAAAAATCTCACATAAATACTATTATAAAACTACAGAAACACTCATTAAAAATGTCTACTGCATAGTATATCCATTTATCTACTTACCTGATTTCTTTTTTCATAGAAATGTTTCTTTAAGAAATGGGTATTTTAATGATTGTGACATGCATTCAGATACAAAAAAACCTCACAAAATTAGTAACATCACCTTGACTTGCCATGAAATAAGGTTCTTCCCTCTCTAAGTTACATACTTTGTTATATTTTATTGTACTTTACTAAAGATTTAAAGAATAAGCTTGAAAAGGAGAATAAGAAAGGGAGTATCATATATGTCCAAACATTAGGCAAATTTTTTTCTCCCCCCAAGATTATTTCTCAGGAAAAAAGGTGTCACCTTTTTCTTCCCCCAAGATTATTTCTCAGGGAAAAGGGATTCACCTTTTTAGTCAAATCTTTATCTAAGTCTCTGTATTATCTAATGATGTAAAACAAAGTTTTGCTTGGAGAAAACACATTAGGCTAAAATAACCCCATCATTATTAGTTCTAAATGCTTATTGGTATAATCTAACAAAATCTGTTTTTGAAAGCAAGAATTCCATGTACACATAGTAATTATTTGTTAAAATTACAAATGTTGAATATGATCATGCAAAAGTCTAAACCAACTTAAGTGTCCACTGACAGATAACTGGATAAAGAAAATGTGGCATGTATACACAATGGAATACTACTCAGCCAAAAAAAAAAGAATGAAATTCTGCCATTTGCAACACCATGGATAAGTCTGGAGAAAACTAAGCTAAGTGAAATAAGCCAGACAAGGAAACAGAAATACTGCATGTTCTCACTCATAACTGGCTGCTAGGAAGGAAGGAAGGAAGGGAGGGAGGGAGGAAGGAATGGAGAGAAGGAGGGAACAAGGAAGGAATAAAGGAAAGAAAGAAAGACAAGACCACAACAATATGCTGAACTTTCAGAAGGAGAGAACAAACCTAAGGATACTAGAGATGGGTGGGGGGAGGGAGGGGGTTTGGGAAGTGACAGATCGGGAAAAGGGCATAAAGAAATATCACAATTTGTAAGAATGAATATGCTAATAATGAATTTTAAAATTTAAAAATAGCCCTTTCACAAGATGGCGCCGAAGGCAAAGAAGGAAGCTCCTGCCCCTGCCAAAGTTTGAAGGCCAAGAAGGCAGTGCTGAAAGGCATCCAAAGCCACAAATAAAAGAAGATCTGCACATCACCCGCCTTCTGGCGGCCCAAGACACTGAGGCTCCGGAGGCAACCCAAATATCCTCAGAAGACTGCCCCCAGGAGAAACAAGCTTGACCACTATGCCATCATCAAGTTCCCCCTGACCACTGAGTCTGCCATGAAGAAAATAGAAGACAACAACACACTTGTGTTCATTGTGGATGTCAAGGCCAATAAGCACCAGATCAAACAGGCTGTGAAGAAGCTCTATGACATTGATGTGGCCAAGGTCAACACCCTGATCAGGCCTGATGGAGAGAAGAAGGCATATGTTCGACTGGCTCCTGATTATGATGCTCTGGATGTTGCCAACAAAATTGGGATCATCTAAACTTGAGTCCAGATGGTTAATTCCAAATATACACTTTTTTCACCATTAAAAAAAATAATAATAATTAAAAATGAATAAAAAAATGGTTTAAGTAAAAAAAAAAAAAAAAAAAGGTGAGTTAGGGAAGATGAGATGCTTAGGTGCTGTACGTATCTACATGGGTTGGTGAATACTTGGGGTACCCAAGGATATGATACATAGGTGGAAACAGGCAAAAAGGGCAGAATCATTCATTCATTCGAGAAATATTCAGTGAGCAAGTGCTCTGTGCCAGAAAGCTATTGAAGATACAGTGGTGAACTGCTACAGTTCTTATCTTCAGAACACCTGTGGCTCTGGGTAGAGCCGGGTGGGGCAAAGATAAGTAAGCAGGAAGGCATTTAAAAAATATGTAAATACTGTGGTACCAGTTAACACAAGATGTCAAAGGAGCTCTGAGAAGGAATCACGTAGCTTAGAGGCTACTAAGAAGGCATTCCAAAGAAGATGGCATCTTAGCTGAGACCTGAAGCACGAGTAACAATTTTCCAAGTGAAATGGGGGATTCAGTCAGTGGACATGGGGAGGAATGGTTTTCCAGGCAGAGGGGACAACATACACAAAGGCCTAGAAAGGAGAGTAAGCATGTTGTATTCCTGGAACTTTGAGAACAACTGGAATATACAATGTGGGAGGCAGGGGAAAGGGGATGCAGAGCTCAGGACTGGTAGTGAGTATGGAGATCTGCTTATTTAAAACCTCTCATTCATTAACTGAATATTTTACATTCACAATTATAGTTTGAGATCTAATATGACATATGAAATGTTATTTATTCATTTATTTTTAGTCTAATATTCAATCAAAACCAACACACTTGTTTCAAATCAAGGTACTACCTATGTTTCTAATGAGTTTCTAATGACTTTTTTCATGTTCCAATTATCTGTTGTGTACTAAAGTAACAAAAATGTAAAAAAAAAAAAAATAACAATAAAAGCTCTCATTCACTGGGAAAAAAAAGCATTATTTTTGGTAATTACACGCTGAAGATCAAAAATATTCACCTAGAGAACAAATTTTTTAAAATAGCTGTCCTTCTATTATACACTTGTAGTTTAAGGCTTGTAGTTTGACATACAGTTTACAGTGATAGAAATCATATTTGTATAAAAAAAATACTGAGTTTCAAGAAATTTAGGCAGAAGTGACGTGCTGAAAAACTGGGTGAGATGATTCAGTGATGACAAAGATACTGTGCCAAATCACATGTGAAGAATTTGAACAAAATCAATGAACTATAAGGGTAGAAAAAGTAATACTTATAAATTAATATTTTTATTATTGATATAAATATTATTAATATCATTATTAATATTTTTATATATAAACATATATCTTAAAATATATGTGGAAGTAAATTAATACATTAAAAATGTAGATAGATATCTATTTTATCTATATCTTTGAAAGTTTTATATTTAAAACTTCTTATTGAGAAAATAGGGGAACATCCATATCTTGAGATCACCTTACATTTAGACATGTATTTTTTTCCTGTTTTTTTTTTAAAAAACTGAATTCTTGCTTAACTTTGCTATGAACTCCCAAATAAGTCAAAAGTTTACTTCAAATTTCTTTTAGGGTCCAATTTCTAACTTAATCCTTACAATGTAATTCATTTAGTTTACATGTCACCTTTCCTTCATAAGGTTCAAGGTAAACAAATTATTTTAATCTTATCCTCTAAAGGCAAACATTTCCAATCATTGTATTAATTAAACTTTAAAGTATGTAGTCTTTAAACCAAACCAAACAAATGGTTAAGAGCCTTCAAAAAAGGTAATCTAACAGTTTCCAAAGGACAGGAATTTCTATTATAATTTCCTTACTGAAAAAAGAAGTAAAGCGACCATGAACTGCTTCCAAAGTAAAGTCATACTTTACAGACAGAAAAACTCTTTTGGCCTCAGTTGAGCATTTGATTCACTTTTGCCTGTTTATTTGCTTTTTAATTCAACAAAAGTAAAGACAAATTCAAATATTAAATTGTATTATGTTTTTAGGCACTTAATAAGCAAATGTTTTATCTATTTTTTTTTTCTACTCATAAAATGCAGAACCCTCCACTTATAGCATGTATTCTTTGACTAAAAGCTAATTTTCCAAAATTTCAGTATAATATTTTCATTTTTCAATGATTTAACTACATTTGAATGAATTTACTTTCTTAAAATATATTTAAATCACATTATTAACTTAAAAAATACTCGATTCTTAGATCTAGTCATAATTATGCCTGCAATTAAGCATAAATGTCAGAGCTCCATGAAACCTATATGAATTGATGCAATAAGAATCTGAATAATGTCAGTCCACATTCCTTTAATGTTACACATAATTCTTCCTGTCCTTATGGGTTCCCAGATCTGTACAGATTCACATAGCTAAGAACAGTAACTGTGGAAATATCCTTAAAGCCTTGTGGTAGCACTTTGAAGTACTAACTATTTAGTAAACATTAATGAAGAAATAAACGCCTACCTTAATTTCTTAATTACAAAAGCCTACCTGTCCAGGTAGATAACAGCCAGAGAGCCAGCTGCAGAGGTACTAGGTGGAGTGAGAGACAGCCTGTCCAGTCCAAAAGGACCAGCCACTACCTTATCTCAGCTAGTTTTTTTTCTTCTTCGTATTATCATTTTTTCATATTTTCTTTTTCAAGAAAATGAAAAATCTGGATTTTTACATGATGGCTCCTAATTTTTTTAAGTGCTGGCTACTAATTCCATTTTCAATATACAGTAAAATCTAAACAAAACATTTCTGAAAATGAGATCCTGCCCATGGGCTGCCAGTTTTTAAAATTTGCCTGAGACTAAAGATACCCCTTATGTTTTTCAGTCCTTGACAGCTCTACCAATGAAAGCCAAGTCCTCTACTCCCAAGAATGAAGGAAGAAAAAAAAAAAATCCATCATCCCAACTTCAAG